AAATTATTTTTAAAAATTGCTGAACGTGAAGAAATATATCTTTTTCTATAATTTCATAATGGTTGACGAGCGCCTGATTTCACCACGATGCCTTACATAATGTTATACCTCATGTGGGTTCTGTAAAAGCACATCATTTTCTTGAATGATTCCTTCTTTGAAATGGCATTGCTGTAGCATTTGCGGTAGTCGGTGCTGTGGAAAGATGGAAAGTAAAGTAAATTTGTCCCCGCATCCTATCCGGACATTGGGGATTGCCTTGTTAGTGACACAACTTCCTGGGCCTTCGGTATATTGTGGTAGGGTGGCCAGTTCCTTTCCACGCCGCCTTTACTTCCCCAACTCGAAGTGAGGTACCCATTACTGCTGGGTGGGCCGGAGGGGGCGAAAAAAAATCCGTGTCCGAAACGAGGCTCAAACCGAAACTTTCTGCTTCGGAGACGAGCTCACTAACCGCTTCGCTACCGCGTGTAAATCCCTTTAAAACAGACGCCAATGTTTCAAAATACCCGTAAGCAATATTATTTCACTGGCAGTCAAAATATACGCTGATAATATCACAAAAGAATGGTTTTTAGTACCTCACGTGTATTCTGTAATAGCACATCGTGACCTCCGTGCTTTCTTGCCGTATCTTCATTTTCTTTGTAACAATGAAAATGTGACATCTTCTTATTAACTGTTTTCACTGTTATTAAAAATGGAGATACGACAAGAAAGCTCTGGGGTCGCGACATCCTTTTCTCAAACGCTTCCATCTTGGAAAAGGCCGTGTAGTCTCACGTGTGGTAGTTGGTACCGTGGGAGGGAAACGTGTCGTGACAGCCATCACGGGAAGCAGATGATAATGAGCATGGTCTTATCTTTAATTTGCTGTTCTTACACAGTTACTCCCCCTCCCCTTCCTCTTCCTTCCCACAAGTCAAAGGAAGCAGATGATGACGAGAAGGGGTCTTTTACTGTTTTTACAATTACTCCCCCTCCCTCTCCTCCTTCCCTCCTCGTCGTCATGATCATAATCATAGTATCATCTGTATAGCCATTATCACCACCACCACCATCATTATAATCATCATCATCTCCACCACCACCACCACCACCACCACCACCATCATCATCATCATCATCATCATCATCATCATCATCATCATCATCATCACTGATGTTGAAATTACGATAACGACCCCTCCCCCCCCCCACCAACAAAATCGTTTGTGGATACTTGACTCTTTTCAAAGTTTTTGACATCATAAAACATGTTCAAGCTGGAACAGGACACCTGTTACGTATGTAACCTGGCCAGCCAGCATCGAGAGCCTACAACGCCAAGCACTCAGGCTATAAAGGAAGAGGAAGGCCACACAAAAGGTGGATCGAGGGTGTCAAAGAAACCCTGTGAAAAACTTAATATCACAACTGAAAGAGCTGTGGATCTGGCCTATCATGGAAAACTGCATCTCCCCTCGACGCTTAACGGCGACAGAGGATGAACAAATTAAAAGTAAGTAAGTAAAACATGTTCGACGTTTCGCAAGTAGGAGCTTGTTCGTGAACGTGATATAAACAATAATATCACTATTGAAACAAAATAGGTACACTTATTGCTTAATGCACAATGGTGCATGGTAATTGGTGGCTTTTAAGGACAGGTGGGCTAACCCAGATTTTGGGGGTTTCTAGAAATCTTGACCTACACCAAAAGTGGGCATTGCCCTCTATAGGAGAAGTTTGGTTTCATTGGTGTGTATATTTGTTTGGTTATAGAGAAAACTCTCCTTGTCTTTTAAAGAAACTGAACAAGGGGAAAAAACTTTACCTCCGATTTTCTCAAAACAGTGTTTTTCGGGGTAGCCCCTTTGTGCTTAAAAGCGACCAATTAGTGACAATAATATTATGGTCATCACCATGTCATCATCATACCTGAACGATAGAAAAAGAACAAACTTATCAAGACCAGGATCTAGTTTAGACGTTTATATGTTGTTTCTTTTCTTGGGTAGTTCAACGTTTCCAGTATTCAAGCTTTATCAGAAACATTATTAAAAAGAAAAAAAATATATTAAGAGCACTTAATTATTATAACGATGGTTCCTTTCATGTTTAACATGAAATACTATTGTTGTTGAGTAAGAAAAAAGAATGTTGTGTTGTTATCATCGTTATTGTTATCATTGTTTCATTATTATCAGAAAGCGCAGCAGTAGCAGCAGGAGTAGTAGTAGTAGTAGTAGTAGTAGTAGTAGTAGTAGTAGTAGTAGTAGTAGTAAATTAACATTGTTATTGCTATAATTATTACCGTAATTGTGGTGTATAGCATTACTGTTTGTTCTTTCTTCATCATCATCAATATTATCATCACCATCGTCGTTACATTTTCATTATAATTATAATTATTATTATTATCATTATCATTATTATTATGATTATGATTATTTTTATCATTGTTATTATGATTAAGATTAGGATTATGATAATTATGATTGTTATTATTATTATTATTATTATTATGATTATGATTATGATTATGATTATGATTATTATGATTGTTATGATTCTTCTTCTTATTTATATTATTATTCTTCTTATTATTTTTATCATTATTATTGCTATTATTAATATTATTATTTTTATTATTATTATAAATATTATTACAATCATCATCAATATCATTACAGTTGTTTTTGTTGTTGTTATTATTATAATTGTTACTATTATTATTATTATCATTATTATTATTATTATTATCATCAATATTATTATAGTTACTGTCATATCCATACCACACAGAGCTACTTACACATATTTAGGCTCCCCGGGATCCAACAGACCATTGACCACGCCGTTCCAAACATTGACGTAATCCAACGTCCACTCAAAGTCTTTCAAGGTGCGATTGACAAAGTCATAGTTATCGTTGTTACCTGGAAGAAACGTTTGACAGAGAGTCGGGACAATTACGTGAGAGGAAAAGGTAAGTTTTCTCACTCTCCTCTCTGTCTCTCTCTCTCTGTCTCTCTCTCTCTGTCTCTGTCTCTCTCTCTCTCTCTCTCTCTCTCAGTCTCTCTCTCTCTCTTCCTCTCTATTTCTCTCACTTTCTCTCTCTCTCTCTCTCTCTCTCTCTCTCTCTCTCTCTCTCTCTCTCTCTCTCTCTCAGGGGGGGAGGGGGGGCGTGGATGGGGGTGGGGTTGGGATGTGGGGGTAGAAGGAATCAAATGTGTCACGGCGTGGTGGAATCAGGCGCTCGTCAAGTTTGGAGCATTTATTATGGGGTTATTGGTATAATCTTAAAGCCTGTTCATTATCCATCTATGTTGAATAAAAGTTGAAATATTTGCGATTGAAGGAGATCAGGTTCGCCTGGTTTCAGACGTGAAATTAACGAGGAAATGGCCGCCAAAGTTTGGTGACGACATCCATAGCCTAAGAGTCCTTGGAAACTGAAAATATACATATTTTTGTGTCTTTAATCGATGTTTTTTCAGTAAAACACACATAAATGTGAGATTTTAAAAGGACATAAAAGGCGTTGAGGCAAACAAAAAAAAAAAAGAAAATTGTAAAAACAATTGCTCATTGGCCGAAAAAATGCCGATTTCTTTGATTTCATTATTTTGACGAGTGCCTGATTTCACCACGATGTCCTCACAAATCACTATGTTGAAACAAACAGCCAAAAATGAAACAAGAACAAAAACAAAACAGCAATATTGGGTTGAATACTCACTACACATTTTGTAAAGCGTTCCCTGTTCCACATACTGGGTGAACTTCAGAATGTTCAGCTGTGAGTAGGTTTTGCTCGTTTTTCCATAGCAGTAGACCCTGAGAAGTACAAGAAAAGTATGATTAATAAAGCAAACAAATTATGAACACTCTGTTTGAAAACCAGATATTCCACATTTCGTGAAAGTGGAGAACATGAAAAATCAAAGTTTGAAATTCTACATCTCAGGGTGAGTATTGCATTTTTTTGCCTTTCATAGCACAAGACATAGGTCTGTTTTCAGTGGGTCCGTTTGTTATGAAAAAAATATTTGGTTTTTTTTTTTTCGAATTTCAAATAGTTTAATTAAAAAAAACAACAACATTCAGAACAATTTAACTTAAAATAATAAGACACATGTTTTTAGTGATGTAAAGTTCTATAATATATTAAGCCAGATGAGTCAGAGTTGCTCAAGCTGATTGCATTTCCCACTGTCCCATATTCGTTGCATTACTTTATTCATTAAAAAATACTTTTAATGGTATTTGTAAGAATGACCTTTAATTAGTCGTTTTTAAGCATAAGGTGGCTATCCCGAAAAATGCTGTTTTGAAAAAATCGAAGTTAATTTTTTTGCCTCTTGTTCAGTTTAAAAAAAAGACAAGGACAGTTTTCTCTATAACCAAACAAATATACACACCAATGAAACCAAACTACTCCTATAACTAGGGCAATGCCCACTTTTGGTGTTGGTCAAGATTTTTGGAAACCCCCGAAATCTGGGTAAGCCCTCTTGTCCTTAAAAGTTAGCAATTTTCTCAACCTTCCAAACTTATATAACTTCGATATTTCCCCAGCTGATTGTGTTCCATTCCTCAAATTACAAGGACAGTCTCTGCAACAACAAAAATAATTTACTGAAATATCAATAGTATAGATCTAGTATAAATGAAGCTTCAAACCATTTCGAGATGTCGGTGCCGACTTCAACGTCTCGTCCCATTTCAAGAACTGCAAAAAAACGACATAAAGAAAATGAATGTTAGCACAAACACTCGAATTTGCTTGGTAGAATCTAGACATGTTATACATACTGACTTGGTAGATAGATAACTTGGTAGAAAGATAACTGTGATTAAATTGATTTGACAGATAGATAACTTTAGTTAAAATGACTTGGTATGGATAGATAACTGTGGTTAAATGACTTTATAGATAAACAACTGAGGGTAAACTGACTTTAGCGAGTGTGGAAAGGAGCTGAGGAAATGTTAGTTTGTGTACATACTTTGTTTTAGCGTGGGCACTCCGGAGTCCACTTTCACCTCCAGTAGTCCGTATTTATCCGGGACCACAAATACGAGCCTGTGTGTGGCAAATGGTGGCCATGAGCGATTGTTCATAAATTGCGATTATTTGAAAGAAATGAATAAAAAAAAAAAGAGTAATTGTATAGGTCTAAATAATGCCCTTTGCAACACCGTAAGCCCCCGTGCACATTAGCAAAATTACCACTCGCGTATCTAACCTTGCTTTATCTTCAACTTCCTGCTTTCTTACCTGAAATATTACAGCTTGCGTTCGTGTGAGAAATATCTACCTAAAGCCAAAAACTTAAAAATAATTTCGAAGCAGTTATTGGATAACCATCTGAGAGCACCTTACCCCTCCCCC